ATTCCCTTTGAGCTCCTAGGCTTCAATCAAAGGGAGACAATTCAGCACCTTGGACAGATCATTTAGACATTAAACCAGACTAGTTTCACCACCCCAATGATATCAGACTTATAATTCCTGCCATTTTCCCATCTCTACGATACCCCAGATTTCGGGCATGGAGAATTATGCTGCCTATTCAATGTTGATGTGTATTGAGTAAGATTCTGGAAACAAAGCATGTCACAAAAGGCATACCTCTTTCTCTAAAGATGCCTGTGCATAAAGGGGAGGGGGGAATCTCAGAGAGAAAAACATTGTTTTCCAAGAAATTTCAGCACTGATTTGTTTTATATGAATTACCTGATTTCAATCAGTGGCATCGAGCAGGGAGAGGTAATATTTGAATATTGAAAATACACTTGGAATATCTTTATTAGGCATAGATCAATACAAAATAGAAATCAAATAAAACAGAGCTTCTCCATTTTTCAATAATTGATTTTATATTAACACATATTGTATGGTTACTCAATAAATGCATAGCAGGATAATATTTCAATATCACATTATCTAGAGATTCTATAACAAATTAAGTAAATTCCTATTCTGCCCACTAGGTTATGCCTCATATAGTTTAAACAGTGGAATCCAGTTCTTATAAATTTCAGAACACAGTTCTCTCTGGATGTGGTAATGTGACACAGTACATGAACACAAATGTTGCAGCTCATAATTTTAACTGCTGTGGTTTTTAAGTCTTTTAATGTCTAGGTAAAATACTTTTAATGGAGGGTGTGACCGGCTCCCACACATATGAACACAGTAATAACCTCCATTTGAAAACAATGTTCTTGGTTTAAGACCATGCATTGTGCCAGCTTTTTCTATCCTTTCTCCACTCAACCTCTACATGACTGGCTCCAATAAACAAATATCTTGCCAAACCTCAGCCTCATATGGCATGTCATAGAAGAAGAAGGAGGAGGAGGAGGAGGAGGAGGAGGAGGAGAATCATAGAGTTGGAAGAGACCTCATGGGCCATTCAGTCCAACCCATTTTGCCAAGAAGCAGGAAAATCACATTCAAAGTACCCATGGCAGATGGCTATTCAGCCTCTGTTTAAAAGTAGGAGCCTCCACCACACTCTGGTGTAGAGAGTTCCACTGCTGAACAGCTCTCACTGTTAGGAAGTCCTTCCTAATGTTCAGCTGGAATCGCCTTTCCTGTAGTTTGAGGCCATTGCTCCACGTCTAGTCTCCAAAGCAGCAGAAAACAAGCTTGCTCCCTGGTCTCTATGTGGACTAAGAAATTTGTAGTTAATTAAGTCAAATAAGATTTTGCATTAAGTTCTCTCTCTCCTCCTTCCCCCCACTCCAGTAATTACAATCATGTTCATACCTTGGATCTATATATTGGTTTGTAAAAGCTTCCCTATTTGAGTGACAAATAACAATATGCTTCATTGCTAACATTTGCATTGAATCAAACTCAGCTTTTATCAGCTCTATGAATGAGAGATGTCCAAAACTCTAGTCATCAATTGCCCTTGAATCTGTGCATTTGTTCTCTCTCTCTTTTCCTACAGCCTTCCAAATTAGCAAGCAGTTTTGTCTTTTCCAACAAACCAAATCTTCTCCTGACATGTCCAAAATGGGACAGTCTAATCACATTAGCTTCTACTTAGAGTTCAAACTTGATTTGCTAATAATCTATCTATATAAATAAAAATGTAATGTTAGTTTGTGGGATTAACATAACTCAAAAACCACTGGACGAATTGACACCAAATTTGGACAGAATACACCCAACAATCCAATGAGTGACCATCAATCAAAAAAATTATTTTGTCATTTGGGAGTTGTAGTTGCTGGGATTTATAGTTCACCTACAATGAAAGAGCATTCTGAACTCCACTAACAATGGAATTGAACCAAGCTTGGCACACAGGACTTCCAACCGAAAGCACTAGAAGTTTTTGGTGGGCATTGACCTTTAGTTTTGGAGTTATAGTTTACCTACACCCAGAGAGCACTTTGGATTCAAACAATGATGGATCTGGATCAAACTTGGCGTGGTTACTCCATATGCCCAAATATGAACACAGATGGGATTTGGGGAAAATAGATCTTGACATTTGGGAGATGTAGTTGCTGGGATTTATAGTTCATCTACAATCAAAGAGCATTTTGAACTCCTCCAAAGATAAAATTGGGCCAAACTTCCCATTCAGAACCCCCATGACCAACAGAAAATATTGTTTTCTGATGGTTTTGGTGACCCCTGCGACACCTCTTTATGACCTCCGCAGGCGTCCTGACTCCCAGGTTGAGAAATGCTACCTTAAGCCCATCCAGTCCAACTCCCTTCACCAGGGCAAGAAACATAACTAAAGCCCTCCTGACAAAGAGCCATCTTAAAAAGCCAAAAAAAGAAAAAGAAAGAAATTCACCACATTACAACACATGCGCAAAACCACACACACACACACACACACACACACATTTGTGTATATATACACAAATATATATATATATATACACATATACACATATTTACATAAACAACACATATACATAGACTGGGCCACAGCAATGTGTGGCAGGGGATGGATAATAATAATAATAATAATAATAATAATAATAATAATAATAATAATAACAACAACAACATAACAAGACACATTTATTTGTCATTTTAGCAACCCGCAGCTACATTTTTCTCTCTCTATCATCACATTTCAAATGAGTTGATTTTCCTCCTGTCAACTGACTTCTACTTGCAATAAATTATTATTACTTGTGTCAATACATATACTTTCATTTTGAAGTAATTCAAGCTAATTTGCCATATATGATTTGTTGGATAGTAGTTATTTATTCCACATCTTTCCTCCAATGAACACAAAGTGTCACACATTGATATGTGGTCACCCAGTGAAGGTTATGGTTCACTAGGGCATTGGACCTGGCTTTTTCTCAAGTTCCAGTCCAAGAACTCTAACTATTATACCGGTGCCCGGCTTGACAGTAGTGTGTATGAAAAAGATCTTGGAGTCCTCGTGGACAACAAGTTAAACATGAACCAATAATGTAATGCGGCAGCTAAAAAATCCAATGGGATTGTGGCCTGCTTAACTAGGAATCTAGTGTCTAGATCCAGGGAAGTCACACTAACGCTCTTTTCTGCCTTGCTCAGACCACAACTGGAATACTGTGTCCAATTCTGGGCACCACAATTGAAGAGAGATATTGACAAGCTGGAATGTGTCCAGAGTCGGGCAACTAAAATGATCAAGGGTCTGGAGAACAAGCCCTACAGGGAGTGGCTTAGGTAGTTGGGCATGTTTCGCCTGCAGAAGAGAAGGCTAAAAGGAGACATGATGCCCATGTATAAATATGTAAGGGAGGAGGGAGGAAGCTTGTTTTATGCTGCCCTGGAGACTAGAAGGCAAAACAATGGATTCAAACTACAAGAAAGGAGATTGCATCTGAACATGAGGAAGAACTTCCTAACTTTGAAAGCTGTCCAGCAGTGAAACTCTCTCTCTGCCCTGGAGTGTGGTGGAGGCTCCTTCTTTGGAGGCTTTTAAACAGAGGCTGGATGGCCATCTGTCAGGGGTGCTTTGGCTGCGATTTTCCCTTCTTCTTTGCAGGAGGTTGGACTGGATGGCCCACGAGGACTCTTCCAACTCTATGATTCTATAATTCTATGATTCTATACCACATTGTCTCGCTTTACTAACATGTTGTTCTCTAAAGTTTGATCAAGCTGAAGTCTATAATTTCTTCATGGAATGACTAAGAAGTATGGCAGCAGCTACAACATTTTTATGTCCATAATGCCTTCAGTTTCTTTTAGTACACATGGATGCAGTCTAGGCCAGCGGATATAGTTTCCATTCCATTTGATTCCACTGAGCATGCTAAGCATGTGCGCTTATTTCTCAAATTTACAGGGACCTGAAAGTCCTTCAGTTTGGGTTTTCATGTGGAATGTTGCAATTAACTCATGTTCTGCCCAGCTCTTTCCCTTGCTCCCTCTCAGTTTCTAGTTTCTTCTGGGAAGCAGAGAGTCTTATCTTGGCAGGAGATAAATCACACACAGCAAATTGTTCTGGAGTTTAACATCCTGTAATGGTGAACAGGAAAGTGGCTGGCTCAGCACGCTAAGTAGAGATCTGCTGATAGTAAGTCTTCAGCATACAGTCCGATGTCCGGCTAAATATGTGTGCCAGCAATGGCTTCTTCCTATAGAATATTTGAAAGAGCAAAAGCAAAGCAGCGACATTTCATGGAAGTCTTTCTTTTTTCTAGTCTTGGCATTTCTGCTGGGTGTACATCTCTCTCCCCCCCCCTCCCCCCTCCAACCAATTATCGGATGCACATGTTCACTACTGGCTACAGTTCCCTGCATTTCTCATTTCTTCCCAGTGGGATCTCTTCACTCCCAGTTTCGAAGCTTCTGCTCTGATGTAGACTTGACTGTGTCCTTGGTGTCAAGATGGGAAGCTACTCAAATAGCAGGCAGACCGAATCTTAACATTCCTGGCAGCATTTCAACCCCTTCAACAAGTTGCATTTTCCATGGCATCTAAGTGGAAGGAGTATCCCCAAGCTTGTGTGCTTGAATATGCTTGGGGCCATGAGAACTGACAAGTGGGCATCCCGTGCATGTAATTGGAAGTGTGACTCTGTATGTGCATCATTTGTTTGGAAAGCTTCCCCTTTCTTGCCTTTTTTAAAGGGCTACTGATGATGGCACCGAATTTCAGCCTGCCCAAACTTTGATATCTCTTATCCACCCTCCTGGGAATAGTCACACCAACACTGTGCATAGGATGGACTTGGAAAAAAGGAAGGAAGGAAGGCAGGGAGGGCATATAACAAGTGTCATCCAGGGAGCAGTTGGCAGTATGTAACTCCCTATAGTGTCAAAAGCCCTGAAAGAGCCAGAATGTGTCACTCAGGAGACTAGAACCAATGAATGCCTGGTAGGAGGTCTGCTCTCTTTCTCCCTATACAGGCTGGGAGTGCTGGTGCTAGGGCTTCTCCTGCCTGTGTGTTATGTGCAGGGTGGAGAAGAGAGGGGGAGAAAGAGGGGGAGAAAAATCAGACAACTGACTGCCTGTCCCCATCTCTCTCTCTCTCTGTAGCTCACTAACTCACTCTCCCTCCCTCTGCAAACATTGGATTTAAACCTACTCAGAATTCAGCACAGAGGAAAGCGGCAAGCCGAACCGCTTCAGACTACTGCAGCTCCTCAAGATGTATCATCCTGCTTGCTGGATCGTCTTCACGGTCACAACTGCCCTGTTCTTCATCCCAGGTATGTCACACAGAGGAGGGGAACAGTGTATCCCACTCCCCATGTACCCCAGGAAGGTGTTCTAGGGGGAGAAAACTGAGAGTGGGGTGGGGAAGGGAGGAGGATGGAAAGCACTGGGCATGCCAAGGATGCAGACCTGACGCTTTTTGCCCAGATGTGTGTATTATTGTTGTTCTAATCTAATTACAGCTACTTTGTGGCAGAGTGCTGTCAGATTTAGAAAGCAGGGAATATGTGGACATAGAGCCGGTGCTTCGTCCTGCAGAGGTGCCTCGGCTTTCTCCCACAGGGAACGTGTGCTGGCTTCGGACAGTCGCTGCTCTTGAGCAGAATAGGGAGGGGACAGGACTTTCATTAGGGACTGTCTGTACAGTGAACATTTGAATGCATAGATGTGTGTGTGTATGCAAAAAGAGGTGGAGACAAGAACACTTCTCAGAAACATTTCTTTTTTCCTTCATTTTCTGACATCCCCCCATTCTAGATCTTTGGAAGGGGAAGGGAATGCTTTCCCATCCAAGTTCAACACCTGGGTCTTTTTTCTTCTCTKATCTCCCTATACTACAGAAAACTGTTTTCCTTCTTGTGTTCTGTACTGACACAGGAAGCGACTTTTACACAGTGGTAGTAATTGGAGTGATATTCATCTTAATTTTCACTTACCCCTCCCCCCCCCCCAAAAAAAAAAAACTGGACAAAGAATAAATAAATTGGCTCCAACAGCTATCTGTTTGGGCAGCATGTTGCATGGTCAGATACCCAGACCAGGTGTTCTGAGTTTTCTTGTTTCCACGAGGCTTCATCATTGGCTGAGATCATGGCAATTCTTGGATACTTTAGGATCACTCAGTGTCTCTTCCTGAAAATTCAAGTCTGAATAGGTTTATTGTAGCTCGGCGCTAACTGGCTCTGAGCTCTGCAGACAGGCGCTCACTGTGGGTAGCTGAATACGAAATTGAACATCTGTCCCAATATAAAATGGATAAGGAGTGTGGGGGAGGTGGGGAGGGAGGAATGACTGGAAAGGGTTTCATGGGGAAAAGAGTGAACCCCCCCCCCAAAAAAAGACAACCTGAATGAGTGTCTTAATCTTGCAATGTCCAATCAAGTGGCTTCAATAGCTGTTGTTGCTGAATTTTAAAAACAAAGTGTAATGTTGTGTTTGGCATTTGGGGGATCAATGCATTCACACACATGTATGATATCCTATATTTCTATCTAATATGTCTATCTATCATACAGACCTTTCAATGCAAGCCTGACAACTGTTTTCTCTGTGCTGGAGGAAGGCTTGATATGAGACATAGCTAAGCTTGTGTGCATTTGCTACCTGTGTTAATTACAGCTTTCACCAGAGGTTGGAAGGATGGAATGACTGGTCCACTAGGGCAGTAGGGGGGCTTTCTCTATTACCAAATGCAACAAGCACTAGAATTAAACCCAGCATCATGCCACCTTGAATCTCACTTTGAGATAAAGGCAGGATATGTTTCTGTTCTCGTCTCTGGAGCAGCACAAAACAATCTGACTCCATCTTCTTCATGACAGTCCTTCAGATATTTAAAGCTAGCTATGATATCACCTCTCAGTCTTCTGTCCTCCATTCTAAACATATCCAGATCCCAAAGTTGTTCCACATAAGACTTGGTTTCCAGACCTTTCATCATCTTGGTTACCCTTCTCTGCACACATTCAAGCTTTTCACTATCCTTCTTGAACTCTGGTGTCCACAATTGCATGCAACATCCCAGGTGATGTCTTGTTGATACAGCCCAGGATAGCATTAGCTTTTTCTGCCTGCTGTGTCACACTGTTGACCAACATTTACTGTGTGGTCTACCAAGACCTAGCCTCTTCTTCAGGCATCTCCTCACCCCACCCACACTCTAAGTCATTGCAGACTGTGGTTGGTTTCCACTTGGAGCAGGATAGGAATTTTAGTCCTTAACCACACCATACCCCTGAACCTATAGGAAAGGTGGTCATTTTTACCTACCCGTCATTGAGACAGATAGTAACTATGGGAATTCTAGACTAGGATGACTTATAGTCAATAGTTGAGTACAATGGGAAAACAAGTTAAATCCTGTGATAAGGATCTCTTGGCTAATAGATCTCCAGACTTGCTCATCACTTTGTGAGACAGACAGGTGGGGAAAGAAATAATCTTTTAGACCAGCCCAAGGCAAAATACATCCTTCCTCATCCTTCAAGTCATGGAAATTGAAGAGTGGGGTCTTTTTGGAAGGCCCTTTGTAGTAATTAATGACTGGATGCCTTATCTATGATGGGCTAAGTTGAGAGTAGGAAATGATTCCATGCCTCAGTGGAAGGCTGAACCATGACAGTTCTCTCTACAGATATTGGGCCCATTTGGATCACACAATTATATAACTGTTATTTTACTTTAAATGTTATGGTCTTGTCCTATGGAATCCTGGGATTGGCAATTTAGGGTGGGGCATCTTGAGTCCTCAGCCAGAGAGCTCCAATGCCACACCAAACTACCATCCCCAGGATTATATAGGATGGAATCATAGCAGTTAAAGAAAAATAACAGTAATACAGTTAGTTGGTAGGGAAAGGCAGGGAGCATGAAGGAATAGAGGTCTTCTTCTTCCTGTTCATTTTTTCCACTCACTTATCTACAAAAGAAGTTCTAGTATTCCATCTTCTGTGCATAATGCACCAAGAGATTGGAAGCCATTATGGAGAACTGGTCACAATTTTCTAATAATACTTTTTCTCTGACATCTTGATAATGAAACTCTTTCTAAGTCGAAATGGTGCTTATTTCAAAAGCCACACTGGAGACACCACTTCTGGATAATGTTAGAATATGAAGGGTTTTGGCACAGGTGTGTACAACTACACTAGTCTTTTGAGAAATTCCATTTTAGGACAATTCGGAAGGTATATATTTTAGCACAATTCAAAAAATACAGATATATATGATTACAGTATGGTGTGTTGGAGGAATCTTATTTTACTATGAATGCAAAACTGAAGTCTCTTGGTCTCAAAGCTCTGGAAGGGGGTTTGAAAATAATGTCATTTTAGCTACCTTTTGCCTTGCCTTCCTGTACACAGCAAAACATCTTTCAATATAATATTGACTGTATGGGCCATAAGCTAGAAGTTCACTAGTGGAGCTTAGGCAAGTGAGCGCCAATGCCTCAGTCTCCCCATCTGCAGTATAGGGATGGTAACATCTGATCAGCCTGCTCTATAAGGTGATTGATAAGGATTACTGCATTGATAGGTTTGAACAAAAAAATCCTCATTTTTTGCAAAATAATATTTCTAGTAGTAGTAATTTTTTTTATTGATTAGCCCTTAGGCCATATCACAATAAGAAACAGAACAACAAGGTCTGATAAGACCTGATCACACTCCACGTAGAAAGTTAAAATAAGACACTTATAATAATACAGGAAATACAAATGATAAGATATGATAAAACTGATAAACTGATCAAGCTGAGTATATACATCATATTTCATTATCACCCCTACAATTTACCCCAATCAGCCTTACATATGTGGTTCTCAGACGTATTGTTTTGCTTAAGTACAGAGCTGTTTTATACGTTATTTTTGGGTCTTGGCCACACATAAAATATGTTGTTCTGATGTGAGAATCCCAATACATTGTCCGTTTGATATATGGACCAAGGTGGAAGTCTCTCACCTTTTGATACAATTTGCAATCAAACAATATGTGTGCTATATCCTCAATTTCAGGTGCCCCGCAGATACAACTCCGTTCGTTATAAGGGATGCTGTTAAATCTCCTGTATCTAACCATTGTCTCGAGCTGGTCAAATCTGGCTCGAGTGAAATATGTATATTGTGCTTTCACTTGGTAAATTTGTGAACCAGAATTCAGCTAGTTGGCTCTTTATCATTAGTGGAATTGAAACTTAGAATCTTTGGATTATTGTCCCTAGACTCATAAGTATGGCATGTTTTAAATATTTCTAGGAGCGTTGTTGTTTATTCATTCAGTCAGTCACTTCCAACTCTTCATGACCTCATGAACCAGCCCATGCCAGAGCTCCCTGTTGACCGTCACCACCCCCAGCTCCTTCAAGGTCAAGCCAGTCACTTCAGGGATACCATCCATCCATCTTGCCCTTGGTCGGCCCCTCTTCCTTTTTCCTTCAATTTTCCCCAGTATCATTGTCCTCTCTAAGCTTTCCTGTCTTCTCATTATGTGGCCAAAATACTTCTAAGGATGAGTTGTTGATTATTTAGCAAGCTTCTCCTCCATCCAATTCATCTCCTTCCAGTCAGGAGACCTCCAGATATGTTGGACTACACATGCTGTAAAGGTCTTGCTTGAGGATGGTGGAAGTTGTAGCCCCATATGATCCTGTGGGGATAAGCTACTCTAATTCCTATTATATGTGGAACCACTGCTCCTTGCCCATTGTTTCAGAGACGAACTTCTCCTCCTCCTGTTATTTTAGTCATGGCTGGAATTTTGTTTGAGGCAAATGAAGTATGAAGGAAACAGGCTTTTAAGAGGTGTGAGAAGAGTGAAAGGAAGTTGGACGGTTCATACAGAAAATACCTCTGCAAAGTTATTATTAGCCTTAATGGCTTCATTGTGGTCTCTCCCCTGCATTCCTCAGTTAATAATTATCTTCCTTTTTCTGTTTGGATGGTGCTTTTAGTTCCCCCTTTCCCAACAGGGACTTTTATTTTCCTCCCTGCCAATTTAGATGTGCAGAATTTAAAGACCTGGAAGGTTAATGCAATAATGAAACCCTAAATCATCTAGGCGCATGGAGAAAAAAAAGTACCTTACACTTTGCAACTGTGTGAAGACAAGAGATGTTGTCATTGTGGACCATTTTTGAGGCTAATTCTTTTCATGTTGGGAATCTTTGAGGGAGAGAAATCGACTTGCCCAAAGCCAATGGATTTTCAGGCAGAGTATCCCTGGTAATGGGAAAATCAATGGATTGCAACTGAAATTTAAGGAGCAATAGGATG